CTTCTTCCATACCACATCACCTTCTACTGATTTTGTATATACTTGTATGTGTATACATTTTCTTCCCTCATAGAATGTAACCTTCTTGAGGGCAGGTACTGTTTTACTTGCGTCATTATATCCTCACTGCCTAGTATAGCGCCTAGCACATAGTAGCCACCTAATAAGTGCTTATTGATTGTTTGAGTTATAAAATGGGAAAAATAATACTTTGGTCAATCTGCCTAGATTTATTAAGCACCTAACATGCAGGGGTCCTGTGCCAGGTAACAAAAGGGAAACACTTCCTGTTCTCAAAGAGTTTACAGTCTAGCTAGGGGACACAAATCCGGTGATAGGTAAATACTAAATAGATCAAAGGTAATCTGATTTGTCAGGAAGGAAAAAAGAAGGAAGGGAAGGAGGGGGAAAGAAATGAAAGAAAGAAGAAAAGGAAGGAGGGAGAGACAAAGGAAGGAAAGAAGGAAGGAAAGAGGGAAGGAAGGAGGGAAAGAGGGAGGGAAGTGGGAAAAAACAAAGGAAAGAAGAAAGTGATGGAGAGAGGAAGAAAGGAAGGGAGACTGGGAGGAAGGAAAGGAGGAAGGGAGAAAGGAAGGGAGGAACAAAGGAAGGAAGGAAGAAAGGAGGGAAAGAGGGAGGGAGGTGGGAAGAAATGGAGGAAAGAAGAAAGTGAGGGAGGGAGGAAGAAAGGAAGGGAGGCTGGGAGGGAGGGAGAAAGGGAGGAAAGAAGGAGGAGAGAGAGAAGGAGGAAAGAAAGAACAAAGGATGGAAGGAAGGAAAGAAAGAAGGAAAGGAGGGGTAGAAAGGTAGGGAAGAAGGAAGGAAGGGAAGGAGGAATGGAAGGATGGAGGGAGGGAAGGAGGAAGGAACTCCCTACTACACAGGGTCATTTGGGGCAAAATACTTCTAAAACCTTACAGATCTATTATTATTAACCTTGGTCCCTTGCAAGACAATCTGGGGAGGGGGGCTGTGGATCTAGCAAAAGAGCGGGGGAGGGTAGTAAGCTGGGGAGTAGATGGAAAAAGGGAAAATATTCAGCTCTCTACAATGTGTTAATTATGCTGAAGCTCTGAGCTCCCTCTGTCCCTCTGGGAGCCTTCTGCCCTGAACACATGGGCTCTTTCCCCCAGGAGAGACAGAAAGCAGGACAGGTCCTTTTGACGGGCCAGCTTGTCACAGATTCAAAAGGACTGACCCTTGGAAGGAGTGACCTCATGGGGCCCCCTGATTCTTGGCATAACCTCGAAAAAATATCGCTTTTTCCTCCAGGTCATGGCTAATCTCAGACAACAAGATAGGAATGGATGGAATCACAGAATCTTTGATTCTTAGAATCACAGAATTTAAAATTTCTAATCAGCATTAGAAAGGTCCATAAACTGGATGTTGTGAAATTATGATGGTCAAGCTTGACCCCAAAGAAGAAACATGAGAGGAGCTTCCCCGTCCCTTTGTCGAGATTGGGGTCCATGGGTATGGAATATTGAATACAACATTAGATTTTTCCCATGTGTTGATTGGTTTTTGCTGACTTTTCTCTCTTCTTTTTTATTTTTTAATTTTGTCAATAAGGGATGGCTCTCTGGGAGGGGGAGGGGAAGGCATATATGGGGAAACGGAGGCAATATGAAAACAAAAGATAACAATGAAAATAAATTTTAAAAAAAACAAAATATATTAATGAAAATCAACTTTTAAAATTTGGGTGATGTTTTTTGTTTTTACCTACATTTCCTCCTATAGGGAAAAAAACTTTTTTAAAAGACAAAAGGAAAAAAAAAGACCCAAAGGCATCCCTTATCCCAGTCCCCACATGACACATGAATCTCCCATGGTATCCCCAACAAGTCTCTGCCCCTTGGAGTGCCCTACCTCCTGAGAGAAGCCATTACACTGTGGGGCATCTCTGATTGCATTGAAATGAGATCTGCCTCCCTATAACTTCTCCCATTCATCTTGGGGCTGCCCTCTGGGTTCGCCCAGAGAGATCTACTCCCTGTGTCCTACAATATCTCTTCAGAGATGTGAAAGCAAAGGTTACTTCCCCACCCCCAAGTCTTCTCCTCGAGATGGCTAGAGAGCCTTAAGGAAGTGTCTCTTTAGGTTCCATACCCAGATGGTGATAAGGGCACTAGCGGAATTAAAAGAATAATGCCAGCCTACATTCATTTCAAATTTTACTACAAAGAACGTATAAAGGAACCATATCATTTGATCACTCCAATAAAACATTATTATCCGGATTTTACCAAGGAAGAAACTGAGGCACTGAAAGGGGGAAAAGTGATTTGCCCAAGGCACAAAACTGAAACAATATTGCAATCCTGGTCTCTGTATTCTACAGAGCTGCTTCTTACCCTCCAGCCCTCATTCCCTAGTCCAACGTGCTTTCTCCTGACCCCTGCATGCTGCTAAGCCCATGGGACCTTGTTGTCCAATGCCCTACATGCTCCAACCTCACACATTCCTACCCCCAGCTCTCATTCACCTCAGGCACCAGCAGGATAGGAGCCAACCTAGGTCAAAGCTGGGGACCATTCCACAAGAACCATTCCACAAAGGAGCAGACCCTTTGTCTCCACCTCTTCCCTGCTCCCAAGACCCCCATTTGTCCTAGGAACCATGAAGATTCTACGGTGTGTTATAGAGGAAGGGGTTTTAGAATGTAGAATAAAGGATATAAAAAAAAGAGTATCATAGCTGGGGGTTGGCAGAGCTTAGAAAATAGGGCATGGAATGTCAGAACAAAAAGGGCCCTTATAACATAGATCGTAGACTTTGAGCTGGAAGGAATCTGGGAGTCACTGAGTATAACTCCTCATTTTACCAATGGGGAAACTGAGGCACAAGGCAGTCAAATGACTTTCTCAAGGCCACACAGCTAGCATGTGGCAAATAGGAGATTTGAACCCATGTCACTGAATTCTAAATCTGGCACTTTTCACCATACCATGCTAATGTCAGAAATGGAAGAGAACAAAGAATGTCAAAACTGGGTAGGAGGGTGGGAAAATAGGCAGGGAGACACTTAGAATGTCAGGAAGAACCTTAGAACGTGGAATATCAGCTGGGAGGGTTCTTCGGACCCAGGATGTCAGAATTGGGAGAGCCCTTAGAACACCGAAGGTCAGAGCTGAGAAGGCCCTCAGACATCATCTAGTCATAGCACTGAAATTGTGGCCACATCCTCCATGCCCCCAGTACTAGTTAGTTCTAAGGAGAAAGGAGCTCATAGCATTTACAGTTAGAAAGGATTAGGAATAATTTAGTCACTCATTGTACTGAAGCAGAAACCAAGATGCAGGGAGAGGTTAAATAGCATGCCCAAGGTGGCCCAGTCAGGTCTTACCAGTGGAAGGCTTTGGCTGAAGGCCAAAGAAGAACTGGAGACAGAATAAGAATTAGACCGAAGACATCCTGGTTCCCAGGTCTTTCTCCATTGCCCCTCACTCACCCCAGTCCTCCCTGTCTCTACACTTCTCCCACCCCTAACAAATTAAATCCAGCCACCAACCCTGCCGCTTCCTCTAGTCTCCCACAATGAGATGAGCAGGGAAGTTCTGTAATTAGCAGAGTGTTACCTCCCTACAAATTAATCTACAAATTTAAATACCTGGAGATTGTTCTGCTGAGAGCCTGATGCAAGCAAGAGGCCCCCATCAGTGACAGGGGAGAACTGGGTTAGCTGGCAAACCCCTTTGGTGGTTCTGCAGGGACTATCCCGCTTCTGCTCCCATCTTGGCCTTCTGGGAAACAGATTAGGGAAGAGATTTGGAAGCCAGCCCCACTGTCGGAGGCCAGATGCTTTATTGGGGCTTTAGGATTTTATAACTGGACAGGACCTTAGCGATCATCTCTAATTCATCTTCCTCATTTTACAAATGGGGAAACTGAGACCCAGAGAGAGAAAAGGACTTGTTCAGGGCATTCTGCGAATGCATGGCACAACCTGGTCTGGAACCCAGTTCTCTTGACCCATGGGCTGTCTCTTTCTATATTGCCTCTTGCTGAGGTCACAGCTATATGGGAACTGTCCAACATTGGCCTTATTTTTCCTGGAAGTTCAGGTTGCCTTATTCCTTTTGCTCTCTGGCCTTATACTCCATCACATATGACCATTAGTAAGCCCCTGCCCTAAGGGGTCCCAGAAAGGTACTAGTCTCTGAAAGTAAAAGAACCCCAAGAGATCAAATGTGTCAGTCCCAGAACTGAGGCTAGATGCCTCTGTGCCTAATCTCAGTTTTGTCAGATTCCCCAAAGACTATTTCCAAAACTTCAGAAAAGCTTTCTCAAGCTTCTATACTGACCCAGGATACCCACTTCAGCTAAATTCTCTGAGCTTACAGGCTGTCCCCACGTCTTGGAACAAAATAAGTAAGCAATATAACTATATCGTAATAATGTAATAAATCCACAAGGATTTACTATATGCTAAGCATTGAAAACACACAAAGACAAAAATGAAACAAGATTCTGTCCTCACAAAGCTAATAGTCAATCAGAAGATGGCTAATTTTTCTTTGTTTTGTTCTGTGTTTGAGTCTTTTCAGGATTCTGGTCAGCCTGGTGAAGTGGAAAGAGGTGACAAAGAGCAAGGAAAACTCACCAGGAACACAGCTGGCATACACTGACAGAACTACCACCCAAGCAGCCCCTGCCCAAGCCAGGTCTGTTTCATTCGTAATTGACAAAGAAAGAAGAGTCAGTCCTTACTGGAGAATATAAGGATGACATTCTAAGGCTCCTACACTGATCTGCAATACTCATTTTTTTTTTGCTAAACCTTCTAGATTTCCTTTCCCCACCCCACCCCCAATTTTTACATCTCTGCCATTGCTGTATGTAATTATGGGTTAGAAAGGGAGGAGAGAGGTCTTCATCTAAACCAAGCTTGTCTACCATCACAACTCCCTCCCTAAACTCTAGACACCCTTCTGGGGGTGTCTCAATTCCTCCCACCCCGGTCTTCCCCTCCCCCAGCCCCAACTAAGACTCACCCCAGGCAGAGTCTTTTGTTCGTGCAGAGCAGTCTGGGCCTTGATGGCGGAATCCCTGGCACAGTAGGTGAGGAAAGCGCACCCTGAGGAGGGGAGAAAGAAATGGAAATCAGGTGTTAGAGATACGTGATTTTTTTTCCTTCCAGGTGTGCTGGAGCTACCTTCAATGGTTCACAAAGATGGGTAAATTTTCAGAGTGAGCATTTATTCCTTGGAAATCAGCAAACCTTACAACAGATCAGGGCTTGGTCTAACCTCTTGTGGATTGTCTAAACTTAAGAAAACAATGGCAGACGTGTAAATAAGGAGGATTGAATTTAAAAATATGTCTAGTGTATATTTTTCCTGGAGAGCCAGTTGTTAAACATTTACTAGCCCACTACTGCTTTCTTCCACATTCTCTGTTGCCCACTCCTGAGCCCCACTCTTGGGACATGTATTTTCTTGGTTCTCTTCATCAGGCTCAGCTGTTCTATCCTAGGCAGGGAAAGATGTTCATTCTCCACCCAATCCCATCCTTTAGTTGTTTGTTAATTATCTGGAATGGAGGGAAGGGCTTGGGATGAGATTTACTCTGGCTGGGCAGGAAGAAGAGGAGGCAGGAGGCAGGGGGAGTCATTAGGAGAACAGTCATGGATAAAAGCCCACAGAGGAAGGACCTGTCAAAATGGGGGTGGGTGGGGGGTTGTGGGTGGGAGGTGGGAGTGGAAGGAGGGCAGAGGAAGTAATTACTATAGTATAATTTGGGGAGGATGAGTCCTAAAGCACCCAGCTTCAAGGAGACTGTTTGAAAATGTGTGGAGGGATCTTAAAGGGACCCTAGGGAGCTTAGATTTAGAGCTGAAAGGGATCTTGGCACTCATCTGCCTCTCACTTGACAGATGAGGAAACTGAGGCCTAGAGAGACGATTATTTGTCCAAGGTCACAAAGCCAGTACAGTGGAAGAGCCATAATTTGAACCCAGCTTCTCTAATTCATCTTTATCTCACTGCTTCATTCAAGCACAGACAATGTCAGGACTGGAAGGAACCCTAGAGATTAATCCCACCCCCAAGTTTATATGACCCTAAGGGTGGGTGTTTCCGGGGTCTCTACTCCCTTGATAATCTCATTCACTCTACAATTCCAAACATTGTACTTCCAGACATGACTCTCAAATCCGCATCTAACGTCCCTCCTGAGCTCCAGTCCCAGATCTCCAAATGCCCTTGAGATACCTCTACCTAGGTGGGCAGTCAACGCCCTAAGCCCAATTCTTCAGACTGGACTCATCCTCTACCCCTCTATCTCTCTATTTCTTCTGATGGTCTCATGGCAAGACTTCTCCCCATACCCCTCCACCGAAATACAAACCAGTTGCCAAGTCTTATTAATCCTAATTCCAAAGTTATTTCTCAAATGGGTACTCTCCTTTCCACTCCCACTACAAATATCTCAATTTAGGCCCTCCTTACATCTTGACTGGACAATTTAAATAACCTCCAGACTAAGACTACCTGTCTTCAATCTCTTCCTGCTTCCTTCCACCCTTCATTCTTTTTTTTTAATTTAATTTTATTTTTTTCCACCCTTCATTCTGCTGCCAAAGTAGACTGCCCGATGCACCAATCTGATCAGGTCACTACCCTAGTTAATAACCTTCATTGGGTCTCCAGTGCCTTCCAGATAAAATACAAGTGCCTCGGGCTGGCATCTAAAGTCTTCATTTATCTGGCTTTGACTTCTCTTTCCAGTTTTATTGCTCCCTTTCTGCCTTCGTGTACTTTGAACTTGCAATGCAAACTGGGCCACTCAAAATTCCCCAATATAATGATGTCATTTTTTAACCTTTCCTATGATTTTATTATATTCTAACTTATCGGGATTTGTATTTCTCAACCTTCTACAGATTGTAAGTGCCTTGAGGGCAGGGACAATATTGTTTTTCATCTTCGTATCCTCAACACCACGCACAATACCCTATACATAGAAATGTTTAATAAATAATTGTTGAATTACATTAAAGTCAGAGTAAGAAGGCCCTTAGAACATAAAATGGAACCTCTGAGCTGGAAGAGCCATTAAAACATGGAACATATTGGGTGAAATCTAGGGTTAAATGTAAAGTCATACACTTGGGTTCAAAAAGTCAACTTACAAGTACAAGATGGCAGAAGTACGATTACACAGAGGTTTGCCTGGAAAAAAGATTTGGGTATGTTCATGGACTGCAAATTCAATATGAGTCAACCCTGTGACATGTACGTTTAGCCTAGAGAAGAAAAGAAGATGGTGGGCATAAGAGCTATGCTCAAGTATTTGAAGGGCTGGTATATGGAAGAGGAATTAGGTTCATTTTGGTTGGCCCTGAGAGCTGGAGTAATCTATGACTGATAAATTCAGGCCTTACAAGCATTATTATAGAGGTATAGACTTCAACTTGATAAAAGGAAGAAATTTAATCATCAAGGTAGCCCAGTGGAGAGAATGAGTAGCAGGCCTGGAGTCAGGAAGACCTAAGTTCAAATCCAACCTCAGATACTTACTAGCTATGGGACCCTGGACAAGTCACTTAGCCTTTGTCTGCCTCAGTTTCCTCAACTGTAGTAGCACTTACCTCTCAGAGTTGTTGTGAGGATAAAATGAGATAATAATTGGTGCTTAGCACAGTGCCTGGCACATAGTAGTTGCTATATGAATGTTAGCTTTTGTTATAAAGAACTCCCAAACAATGACAGGTGTCCTGAAGTAGAACAAGAACTCTTGTGAGGTAGTAGGGTCTCCTTCCCTGGAGGTCTCCAAGCAAAGGCTGGAGGACCCTTTGTTCTGTATGTTGGAGGGGTGAGGCAGGGATTCTTGACCAGGTATGGGCTGGACTTGGTGGCATTTAAGTAATCTTCTATCTCTGAGATTCTTTTTCTGTGGATGTCAGAGCTGGGAGGGCCTTTAGAAAAGAAAATGTCAGAGCTAGGAGGACCCTTAGAACACAGGATGTCAGAGCTGGGAGGGTCCTTAGAACCCAGGATGTCAGAGCTGGGAGGGCCCTTAGAACATAGTATCAGAGCTGGGAAGGTCCGTAGAACATGAATCCAGAATGTTGGAACTGGAGGAGACATCAGACTGTAAAACAGCAGACCTTCTATTGGGACGTGCCCTTGCCCATTGGAGCTTTGATAAACCTTAGAGAGATCATGTAATCTAGCTCCCTCCCTGGACAGATGTTCAAATTTAGGGTGGGGTAACTTCATCACCTCTTATCTTCATCCTCTACGTCATTTCCCAGTGTCCTACTCTGATCAGACTAATTCTCTATGAAACAAACAAAAACAAAACCTTCCATGATTCCCCGTTGCTCTCCCAGTTTTAAAAAAAAAAAATCTCCTTGCTCCCATCCCTACTGCACTCCAGCATTCACCGAAATCTTGATCCAACCTGGGCGTATAATTGTATCTCCTACCCTTCACATAATCTATGTTCCAACTAAACTGAACAGCTCTCTAACCTCCCCACCTTGTCCTCTGCAATCTGGATGCCTATGCCCCAGACTGATCCCCTCCCTGTTCCCATATGGAGATATTACTCTACCACCACAGCCTGAACCCTGACACCCCCTATGTGAAATATGCTGCTGGTCACAAAGAAGAAGGTGAGAAAATTCAGAGCAGCCTATTCCCACTGCTGGAGACAGCAGGTGGACGAAGCCCTCTTTCCAGAGGGGGTGATTCAGGGGTATCATCTTTGTACACAAAAGATAACACGTGCACTTGTAATAATAATGACAATAGCTGACATTTCTATTATACTGTGCAGTTACACCAGACTCTCGCATCCGTTATTTCATCGGATTTATCCTCTATGTGGTTGCCAAAGCGATTTTCCTAACAGATCCGTCTGACCGTACCACCCCACTACTCAACAATCTCTGGCCACTCCATATACACGTGCACATCCACATCCACATCCACATGCACATGCACATACATATGTGATGTGTGTATATATATGATGTGTATATGTATGTATGTGTACATATACACACATATCTACATATGTGTATATACACACATACACACACACATATTTAATCAACTAAAAACACTGTTGTTTGGCTGGAAAATTCCCCCCAACCTGCCCCCATCCTACCTTTCCAGATTTAATTACACATTTCTCTCCTTCACACACTCTGTGGTCCAGGCAAACTGGCTTTTTTGCTGCTCAACTCCTGCTCTCTCTTCTCGCCTCCATCCCTTAGAATTCCCAGTTCCCTTTGATATTTAAGCTCAAGTGCCACCTTCTATGTGAGGCCCCTCCTGGTGTCCCCAACTGTTAGTCCCTTCCCCTACAAGGTCACCCTTTCTATATATTTTGTATATTCCCATATATGTGCTTTATCTATCCCTAGATATGCGTATGTTGTCTCCCTCTTTAGAATAGAAGCTCTTTGAGGGCAGAATGATGTCATTCTGTCTTGGTCCCTCAGCACAATGCCTGGCCCATTTTAGGCACTTATAAGCATTTATTTAGTTGGTTGGATTGATCTTTCCAACACCTCCACAAGGGAGGCAGGGCAGGGCTTATCTTCCTCATTTTACAGATGAGGAAACTGAGACTCTGAGAAATTGAGTGACTTTTCCAAGGTCAACCCGTTAATTAACAAAGGGAATGTGGAGTAAATCCTAAAGTGTCTGAGGCTCATCACAGCCCTGACTTTCATTTCGGAGCCCAAGCCTTTTCAACCCATTGGCAGGATCTCCAAACTTTGTATTCCCAGATGATACTGTTCCAGCCAGAGGTGCTTCCAGAGTTGAGCCAGGTGTGTGGAAAAACAGATTGACCTTTGTTGTTAGTCACATCAGGGCTCCTTGTGGGAGGCTGGAGGGCCTGGAACTCTCCAGGACTTTGAGACCAAGGGGACTTTAATATCAACAATGAATAGATCGTCTTAAGCCATTTACAATCCAATCTTGGCTCTGATAATTTGATCTGTAGGAAGAGGAGAGGAGTGCAATCTATGCACAGCAGCCCTTTGATAATTTAACAGGCTCCAAAAATATGGAAATCCCTGGCTGTCAGAGGATGGAGGCTGCCTGCCAAGGGCTAGCA